GGACGGACGGACGGACGGACGACGACCCATGGCAATAGCTCAGCTTGACAATGTCAAGGTGAGCTAAAAACAGTAGTACAGTACACTCAGTCTTAGTCTACACTAGTACTACTAGTAGTACTCAGTACTAGTACACTGTATTGTACAGTGAATACTAGATACAATAATGTAACCCAACACAAGAGTAGGGTTACAACGCGAACCTATTCTTTTCTTTGGAGGAGCCCCCCGAGTGATTCACTCAGGGCGGTTTTATGGTGCGTTTTTCGAGACTAGAACTTCCAAACTGGGTTTATTCTAAACACGAACCTTTCTCCACTATCCTGGGACTTACTATGTATCACAATACTATGTATTAAACCAATATAACCTGTTACAAAATTTCGAAGCAACGAGCGGCGATATTTCGAGCGCCATTTCTGGTGACCTGTGATGCTGGCTTTCCCAATGTGCATAGCGATCGACAAACTTGGTTTGAAGAGCAGATGCATCACGGGATGCCTGAGAAATAATATAGCACGTGGATGTGGCGCGTATCCTTCACCTCTGCCTTCACCGACCAATCGGAGGGCTCGCAGCGCACTAAAGCTGACCGAAGTTTGCCGATCGCTATGCACATTGGGAAAGCCAGCGTCACAGGTCACCAGAAATGGTGCTCGAAATATCGCCGCTCGTCGCTTCAAAATTTTGTAACAGGTTATATTAGTTTATAGTAAGTCCCAGGATAGCGTAACCTGTATGATACAGGCAGTATGTTCCGCTTCACTACACTAACCGCCTGTACGCGAGCTCAACCCTGGCGGTTCGCAAGCCTCGTTATCGATCGACCGGTTGTTATGGCGGGGAATCTGATTAGCGGCGAGCAATCGAGCGTACAGAAGTAAATACGGCAAAACTTCGCCCCAGGCGAATACCTGATGAATGTAAACAATCTAGTTAATGGCTTTGGCAGAAGCGTGCACTAATTGCAGTTATAAATTCAACTTGAATAACTTGAGAAATGACGTCAGGCAAAAGCCTGCTCGCTGATTGGCCCGTTACAGCTCTCTGATTGGGCGCAATGATTTCTTGGTTCGCGAAGCGGGCTGAATAAGCAAGGGGTACAGGCGGTTAGTGTAGTGAAGCGGAACCGGAACCGCCTGTATCATACAGGTTAAGGATAGCAGAGAAATGTTCGTGTTTAGAATAAACCCAGTTTGGAAGTTCTAGTCTATAACGCAAAAAACGTACCATAAAACCGCCCTGAGTGAATCACTCAGGGGCTCCTCCAAAGAAAAGAATAGGCTCGCGTTGTAAGTACCGGTACCCTACTCTTGTGTTGGGTTACATTATTGAATATTGACATTCACATTGACATTGTATCTAATAGTAATAGTAAGACTAAGTGAATACAAACTACAAATTGTATAAACCTACATTGGTATTCTGCTTTTTGTTTTTATTCATAAACGTAGACCAATTTCCAGCATTTGCACGCTTACTCTTCCTAACTGGTTGTAGAGACGAATTAGTAGCATCAGTCATTTGACGCGATTCTTGTGTTTCACTTCGTGCAACTTTTTGTTTACTTCGCTTGCCCTCCATCTTTCTTATGTTGCATTGGTTATGAGGTTATTTAACTCTAAAACATGCCGAAAGGGGTCGTGGCATATCGTTCCTATGGAAACATTAAAGTAATCGAAATAGGTTGTTATGATAGTTGAATGGGTACGAAACGGCACTTCTCATTTACTGTATAATAAATTTATTTGTTGTAGAAAGCGGATTCTTTGTTCTAAGCAAAGAAAAATATGATAGCAGGGCGCAAGATTACAGATGAATCCATTTATGGATTGATTTATGAACCCGAGGTTGTGCCGCAGAAACCAGCACGGTCAGTTCACTGGCAGTGGCAGCAAGAACAAGTCGGCACCTGCAGCTACAGCACACACGCGGCCATTGACTATATATATAACAACGTTGTTGTATATAGTCAATGGCCGCGTGTGTGCTGTAGCTGCAGGTGCCGACTTGTTCTTGCTGCCAGTGGGTCAGTTTGTTGAATAAGTGCCAGTGGCAGTGAGTCACTGTCACTGAGTCACGAGTGAGAGCACTGCCACTTGGCATAATCACAGATTAGTCATTACTGATCACTAAGTAATAGTTAATCTAGGTTTGAACTAACGACTTTTAGTTAAAAAGTTGACGAGCTGATTTAGTTTTACCTAAGCCTAAGGTTACTGTGATTACCTCCGCCCAACGGAGTTGGAGGAGGTTATGTTTTCGCTCCCGTGTGTTAGTAATAGTGTGTTCGTGTGTTCGCGCAATCTATATTAGCGCGTCAGCCAGCGAGCCAGCCAGCGCAGCGAGCCAGCGAGCGTGTACATGTGAGCGAGTAGCAGCAACGAGCGGCTGCTACGAGCGAGCGAGCAGCAAGCCAGCAAGCCAGCGTGTACATGTGAGCGAGCAGCAGCAACGAGCGGCTGCTACGAGCGAGCGAGCAGCAAGCCAGCAAGCCAGCGTGTACATGTCAGTACGCTGGCATATATCGTGGCTTATTCGTGTGTTCGTGAGTCGTATGGCGTATGTCACTGGCGGAGGTATGCACTCTCCGTGAGTGCACTCTGTCTAGTTGTAAATGTGGGCGATGCCGATGTCGATGAATGCACTACGCATGCTTGCATGCACATTATCTGGGGTGGAGGAACTGGAACTTGGAAGGAAGAGAAGGGGCAGTACAGACAGACAATACCGGTAGACAGTAGAATTCTGTTTTGGCTGTCTAGGACACGCACAAAGCTGCTGGTCCCTGTAAGATCCCTGGTTATATTTACATTATTTTGCTCATCATCATGCTTCAACATCCTGTCTCATCATCAACATAATTTTTGTCATGATTTTCCTACTGTTAGTGTTACCCATTCCACCAATATAATTAATAAGTGGACAGTCTACATCTTGACCAGTCTCTAATCTTTCAATGTTCAAACTTGGCCATATGGGATTGGATCACCTCGAATTTATTACTCAAAATAGGTCTGTATTTAAGCCAATAGGCAATACCCACCTAGCAGTATTACTAGTACTACTACTGTAACTTGCAATAGCAATGTTTACTGATCTGAAGTCGAACTTTTGTGCATGCTGCAGGTACAAATCAATGTACAGTTCAAATGTAAAAGAGGAAAAAAAGCAGCACAAGTCTGAACATGCTACTATGGGACAGGCAAAGGTTCCGTTGCTCTCCCCTGAGAAATTTCTCGCCAAACATTCTAAGGAATTCAAACTACCTGCAAGTGAGTACGATAGAATTTACTTTTTTAGCATTTGCATGAGGAGTAGTTCTTTCGCATGATAAACCTGCAGTAGTTTATCGTGATACGCAGCACAGATGCAAGCCTCGGCTCTCGGTGATGCCTACTCCTCCCCAAATGCACGCCGGCATAGAGCAATATGCGCTTTAGCAGAGTGAATTTGTTACTTGATGTTAAAAGCGATTAAGCGCAGAGATTAAGATTAATTGCAAGATTACATCTTGAAAATGTATAAAATCTGTAGTTGAAAGCACCTTACTTGGCAGCTAATCATAGCCCCAAGTCATGAGGCTAAACCAGACATTGCACATTTCATCTACATTTACGCATGAGTCGATAGTCACTCATGAATCACCTCACCTATTTGCAGAGAAGCAGTTTAACTACCCCGACCAGGACACCTGCAGACCTCTAGTACCGATGATAGACGACAAACCAGTCATGGGTCTGAAATCGAACAAGAACTTCATAACGACGAATGCCGTGGAGAACATCACGTCGATTCCGAAGAAAGCCGTGCCGAAAGTCGTGGACACGCGGGGAGGCGACACACATCCACTCGATGCTTCCGGCCTTGCCCCGAAATACGTGAAAAAGAAGGTACGCTTCGCGAGATGCATATATGCTTGCGGACCCTGTCCATCAGCTAAACCGAATTGGTAATGTTGTGTAGATACACTCCATAGTTGTGAGTCAAGAGATA